AATTTTCCAAATGGTCATTTTCACACAAAAACATGTTCTCTCTCCGTGAAGCAAGTTAAGGAAAATAAAATGTAAGAGGCATACATGCTGGGAAGTCTTATTTCCCATTAAAAAGAAAAAGAAAAGCATTTCCTGGAAAATCAGATGAAATGACAATATTGTTCCATTAACTTGATCCAAAAAATATTTTTTTTTATATATGCTTCTCAAGGACTTCCAGAAGGTAATGTCATATCTAATAACTGGGGTCGAATTACTAATTTACCAAGAAAAGAGAGAGAGAATATTTGACATACTCCATATACAATTGTTTTATAACAAACTAAGAATATTCAATGATGAAATCGCCTTTATCTAGTTAGATATATTAAACTAGCATCTTTATTCTTTATTCTATCAGTGAATTGACTTTCTGAGTCATTCTGTCTTCTGGATGCCCTTTTTTTTTTTTTTTTTTTTAAGTTTTCTAGGACTTCTAATACAACATTGAATAGAGCTAATTAAGTGTAGGCACCCTTATCTTTGTGTCTAATGTGTATCTCTTGTAGGTGACTTATTGATGGCTCATGGTTTTTTTTTTTTTTTTAAGTTTTTATTGTGAATTCTGTTTTAGTTTACATGGGTGAACATTATCTTTACATTCATCCTATCGAATTTTGTTTCATTGAAATTATCACAATCCCCTGCATGCATCATCAAACAACCAAAGAGTACTCCCCACACCACACACCTGCGCCCTGGCCGCCAGCACACAGCCACTCTCCCTCCCTGAATCCAGAGTTCAGCAGCTCCTTCTGTCCATGTTGTCCTCTCTGCCTCCATCCTTAATGTCACTGCCTTTCAGGACAGGGTCTTGCACTTCACTTTTCTGCTTTGATGGTTATAGGGATCTCCACTCCTGGACTGCAAAATCAGCCACTCCCCTCCTTTTGTTACCAAACATTTACATTTACTTTTCCAACACTCACTGTCAGACCTGAAAGCAATCATTTCCTATTGAATCACAGGAGTCCTTTTCCCCTCATCTTTTATCAATCCCATTCAGATTGGTTGGAAACAATTCAGTGGAGATTCTACCTCATGTATTCTACCAGTATCCTGTGGAGCTAGGTTCCCTATTGAAAGTTTGTAAACCAGTCACTTTTTGCCTTTGTAGTTGGGTAGCCAATATCTAAGTTCCCCATTCCTGTCGACCCTGTGTACCAAGCGGATGGGAATGATCCTCAATGTAGAGATTTGTCCACTCCTTTGTCATACTGCATCCACAAGCATAGGACAAGTTCATCCACTCTTAGTAGGTTACGCTTGCTTTTTGTTGTTGTTTTTCCTCTTCTTTCTTCCTCTAGTCATGCTCTGATCATTCAGCCATTGATGCCAGGTCAAATGGGTACTATCTGCAAGTGTGGGTGTTCTTGTGCATCTCCCCTCACTTCATATCAGCTAGATACTTCACATTCCATTCTAGTCCTCTGGGGCCACATCCCTGCCCCTGGGTCCAGGAGTCCCCTGGTCCTGTCATTCTGCTGGTTAACCAGGTCTCACTGGATGCCCATTTGGCCAATCAATTTGGATAATTAGTTTCCAGCTCTGCCTTCAATTATCAATAAAAATATCATGTTTCACAGCACATCACAACAGTTCTAAGTTCACTTGTGAATTTTAAGTATATTTTGTAAAAACATTAAAGGATCACAAAATTGTTATAAAAATAGGCTTACAGAAAAGCATAGCCTTCATTCTGAAGAGTTTTTGTTAAAAATCCATCTAATATAAAATGATGATTCCTGTCATATGTCATTTTGATATAAAGCTTGTTGATTAATAAAGTATCCATTACTTGATTATGTATTTGGTTTCAAACTTTGCTTTTAATTCCCGGAGACTACTTCGAGGCAAATTGTCAGTTCATTATCAGTTCAACAGGCTGCTCAGTTGTACCTTTTTGAGTTACAGTAAATACATTTCTGTCTGGTCTCATCAATCTTTAGTGTCTGACATTTTGTAACAGAGAGTTTTGAAATCATATTTTATGGCATTGAAGCTGCTAGGGAAAATTTATTGATTTAACAATCCCATCCAACATATCCTGTCATGTGGAACTGTCCCCAGTACAAGGCAGATTAGTGAATATGAGCTGCTTCAATTTGGCCCAACTATCTGGCTAAAGAATTTTCCATTACATGGGTGGGTGAGATCAACTGAGTTTGGAACCATTCAATTTATTCTGTGGCACTAGTAAAAGAGAACACAATAGTAACTAGAACTGAATTTGATTTCACTCTCTTCTGTTGCAATTCTGATGAAGTAGCAATGCTGAGTTGATAAATTGTTTTTGCTCTATTTTTTTAAGTAGATCTAAGCATCTCATTTTGTGAGCTGTTTTTGGTATCAGGAATATAAAGTTCCTATGAATCCATTGTAGATTCTAGACACAATGAGATGGTAGTTATAGCTCAATCTAGAGAAGTCAGTTGATAGTATGTGTAATGTCCGGGGTGTGCTGCGGTCCTAAAGTTTTCTCTCTCATGCAAGGTCAATGAATAAGGCTAGGGAACATTTAGAATTTGTTTGTATGTAACATGCTAGATTGCTTTCAGTTTTACAGCCTGAAGACTCCTATTCCACACTTTAGTTGTGATACAAATAAAATAAAGTGACTGAAAAATATATAAATCAGAATATGTCTACAATAACTTCACATTTGTAAAAGAGATCAAGGTAACCAAATAATTATCTGGAAATATATAGATTTCTCTTGTAATACAACTCGAGATTTAAAGTTGTTTTATACTCAGAAAGGACACCAAAAAGCAATGCTTTCAGTGAAAATTCCCTGCACTTGGAGATAGAACTTTTTATTTCTGAAGACAATAAATGGTGATAAATTATAGGTAGATTAACTTAACATTCTATAAAGAATCTTGTCTCAAGTAAAACACATAAATTATACTAATATAAAATAATGCAAATGTAATTTTCCAGCGGTAGGTGATAGTTTCAAGAATGTTGCTTACATGGATAATATATGTGAAACTTATTTTAACTCTTAGCATTTTGTTTTTCATATAATCACTAGATTATCTTTACCAATTTATTATAATGAGCCCATACTGTTAAAAACTTCACATTAAGCCTCTGAAATACTAGTGTCATGTAAGCAACAGCTATTTAGTAAGTGTTTTGTATATGATAGAGATATGCTTCCCTAACAGAAATTTTCATTTCTGTTATGTGTGGAATTAGTGAAGACAATCCTATATATCAATAAGATTTCTCTATTTAATTTAAATTAAGGCAACATTTTATTCCATAAAATGAAAATAAGTCTCAATTATTATTATCAATGATTTTTAGCTCCTGTCTTCTAAAAAAATTCAAAATTATCACAATTATAGCAGTCTTCACAAAGTAAATATAGATTAATAGAACATAATTATTTCTTCTACATTTTATAAACATGAAACTATGGCTAATCCTGAAAATACATTTATAATGAGCTTTTCCTAGGCCATATAAAGATTTCAGATCTAATCATGGTTGTTGTTGTTGTGGTTAGCAGTCTTGTGATTAGCAGTCCAGTGCTTGACCTACAGTGTCACACCTGGACTCCCCAGTCTTGATTAATAATACATTTTTTAGTAGTCTGAATTTTAGAATTTAAAAGATTCTTAATAATCACCTAATTTGAATGTGTCCTCTTATAGATTCAGAAACTGAACCCTAAAAAGATGAAATCACTTACCCAGTGTCATAGCGCTAACATGTGACAGACAAAATATTTCTTGTATTTTATAAATATGAGTTATTTATATTTTCAAGAATGTTGTTAGTTATCATTTTCAAACTAAAATGTAAAAAGATCACATTACCTTAAACTGCTTTATAAATCTACTTTATTTTAGATTTAAAAAATGTAGTACTCTTATGTGTCCTGAAATATCCAGAAGAATTTCAGGATTGCTCATATTACTCATTCATGTAATAATGTTTACAATATTACATAGTCATGGTGTGGCACTATAGGATAAGCACTGGACTGCTAACCACAAGATTGGTGGTTCAAAGTCACCATCCATTCTTTGGAAACCCTATACATGATCACTGAGTCTGCGCCAACGCAACAGCACTTAACAGCAACAGTAACCTGCCTATTTGTTGCACTTTAATTAGGCAAAGAAGCATGTAGAGTTTTACTTTGAAATAACTTATGACATTTTGTGCTCTTTACATTTTCCCCAAATATCTTTACAGAATACCATAGACAGACTGCCATTATACCACCTCAAACATATTGAATATATAAGGATAATGCAGTGTACATTTCTACACATAAACAAAAACGAACAACAAAACCTTAATATGACTTGAACTTCTGCCGCTTAACTAGTATTGCTCTATCTAGGGAATCTTATTGTCTATATTGTTGTTGTTGTTGTTGTTGTTGTTGTTGTTGTTGTTAAGTGCCGTCAAGTCGATTCCAACCCATAGTGACCCTGTATAGGGTTTCCAAGGAGCAGCTGGTGAGCTTGAACCACTGACCTTGCAGTTCAAATGGCTTTACAGTCTGGCGCATTAACCCACAGCGCCACACCAGGACTCCATATTAGGTTAATACAAATGTGAAGGACTTTAGTGAGCTCTGACTAATCAACTAAATTCCAAACATTGTATCTCTTCAAAAGGAATCAGGACTTGAGAAAAAAATAAAACAAAAACTCTACATTCCCCATTCAACCAGTAATTTCATAAATCTTTATACAGAGTAATTTCTTGATTCCAAAACAAAACAAAATTGTTTTTAAAAATTATTGATATGCTTTAAAATATCCTGGGAATTTATGAGAATTCTTTCTTGTTGTAAAAAAAATTAATATTTTTATTACCAAAGTACTATAATGAAATGGACTTTTAAAAATACATGTTATCTTTACAGAGGAATCTCCATATTTTATTCAAATCATATATCAAAATGTCAATTATTTTCTCACGTGTCTGCTCACCTGATCAGAAGAGAAGTCACTATCTTCTTCCAAATATTTACTGAAAGGATTGGGTTCGTAGAATTCCTCATCTGTTTTCAAGAATATTTTGGACTTTACAGGTGCTGGGCGAATTACTCCAGGCTTAGTCTTCATCAAGCAAAATTAAAAGAGACAGTGATAGATAAATAAATACTATTAAAATGAATGCATATATGTATTAGTAAGTCATTCAAATGTTGCTCTCACAAAAAAATTATATTTATTTTTAATTTTAAAACGATTTTTCAAATACAAAAAAAAATAGCCTAAACATCACATTCTTTTAACTGTTGTTGTTGTCAGGTGCCATCGAGTCGGAACCGACTCATAGCGACTCCATGCACAGCAGAACGAAACAAT